CAGGTGACTGCTTCCCTTCTGGCATGGGTGTCCTGGAGAGCTTTGGCTTTCCAGGTGGGTAAGGAGTAGCATCAGCATCATTGGTTGGTCCAGATGGATGCGGCTCCCAGGGCTTGCTGTGACACCCCCTGATTCATCCCATCCTGCAGGTTTGCCCCCAGGCACTCAAAGAGTTTAGCATTTGCAGAGCTGCTCCGTGCCAAGTGGTTTGAAGAGCCATGAGCCTCCTCTGTGGCACTTGGGATCTCTGCTTCCCCAGAAAGTGCTGGGGAGGAGGGAGCTTGTGGCCCCCCAAAACCCAGCACAGCCCTTGCCAAGGCTTTCTCTCTGCAGAGCTAAAATGGAAAGCTCCTTCCAGAGACCTGGACCAGGATCTGATCCTGCACCAAGTGCTGCTGCAGCTGGCCCTGGCGTATGTTCCCTTTGCTATTTTAATGCAGAACAGGGCACGTCTCCTCTAAACCCCCCCCCCTGGCTCCAGGATGGGACAAGGCTCAGCTCTGAATCCCGTTGGTCGAGTGGGATTTGCTGCATCTGCGCTCAGCAAGTGAGCAAAAGGAGAAGGGTGCTGAAGTACCCTGAGCGTGGAAGGACTTGGTGCTGTGCCACGGCACCGGGTGGGAGCCGGGTGCTGCGGGCGCCAGCCTGGCCCGGGAGGTGTTGGGTGCCGCAGCAGCTCGGGGCTGCGCTGCGCTGCCAGGCACCGCTCGGCTTGTGCCGTTCGTGGAGCAAACTCTCGCTTCCCCGCTTCTCCAGGCGGGTTTTGGCTTCCTCACCAGCTGGGGAGCAAAACCCCAGCCCCATGGGCTCACCAAGCGGGCGCCCGACGGAACAGCTTGGGATGCGACTGTGAGCCGAGCCCCGGCGCACGGCAGCACCGGTCCCCGTGGGAGGCTGATGCACCTCCGGGTGCCAAGTCCTCCCTTCGGCTCCACCTGCCACCGCTTGGCACATCCCGGCTTGGATCCGTGATGGGCTCTGCCAGCGCTGCCGGGTGATGCCAGCCTCGGCAGATGTTGCCTGCAGCCTCGACAGGCGGAGCAGCCACGTGGAGCTGGTTTCTCTCCTGCAGATCTGTTCCCTTTAGGGATGAGCCATCTCCCGAGCTGCTTTGACACCTCCGGGGGCTCGCGGGGGTTTAAAAAGAGGTTTTTTTATTGCTTAAGAACTTATCAGCTATCAGTTGGCTGGGTTTAATGAGAAATTATGCTCCGTGGCCCTTCAGCTGTGAAATGCATTGAGTGCATTTAACTGTGTGGTGTCGAAAGGTCTCCAATGGATATTTTATTTTCCTTTCCTTTATCTGGCTTCTTCCCCATTTCTGATAGCAGCAGACATGCATCTGGTGTGGTCCAATCAGTGCCTCCGAGATGGAAAAGACCTTTCTGTCCACCCAGCTCTAAGCTGCCCTGAGACCAGCGCATCCCTTGTGCACGGGTGAGGGTGTTCTTCACGCCTGTGACACCCTGAGGACTGAGATAAGGTCTGATATAAAGCGCCTGACCCACAATCACAGTCCCCACCGCTATATCGAGGCAGGGCTCGTGTCTTAATGGGGCCTTTTCTGGCCCAGTGATGGGCATTGTGGAGTGAGAAGGGGAAAGAGGGACCCTGATTTCCCATCGGGTCTGCACTGCCCAGCTCAGTGTCGCGCCAGGGTGGATGCTTTAAGCAGAGGCTCCTTCTTTTTCCCCCCGATGCTTCAAGCGCCTGGGGACAAGCAAGGAAAGGCTCTGTCCATGGGGATGCCAGAACAGCTCAAATCCTACATCTCTTTCTCCCCAGCCACCAGGAATAGGGCACGTCCATTCCCACAAGGTGGACCTGGCCCTAGCAGCGCAGCACAGGGCATGCAGTGGTACTGAGCATGGAGCTGGAGCTCCCGATGTAAGAGGGATGTGGAGTGAGTTCAGAGGAGGCCATGGGGATGCTGCAAGGGCTGGAGCAGCTCTGCTCTGGAGCCAGGCTGAGAGAGCTGGGCTGGGCCAGCCTGGAGAAGAGAAGGCTCCTAAAGGGGAGACCTGAGAGCAGCTCCAGTGCCTAAAGGGGCTGCAGGAAACCTGGAGAGGGGCTTGGGACAAGGGATGTAGGGCCAGGCCAAGGGGAATGGCTTGAACCTGCCAGAGGGGAGACTGAGATGAGCTCTTGGGCAGAGTTCTTCCCTGTGAGGGTGCTGAGGTGCTGGCACAGGGTGCCCAGAGATCTTAAGGTCCCTTCCAACCCAAACCAGTCTGGGAATCTATGATTTGCTCCTGGTTAACACCTCTTTGCCTCCCTGAGCATCCTTGGCTGCCTGGTGCAACAGGTTCCTGCTCCTTCTCCAGCACTGGAACTCAGCATCGCTGCTCTGAGCAGCATCTCCTTGGTCAGTCCCCAGTATCTCGTAGTTTAAATGATGTACAATAGGCCTACTGTGAGCAGCGTGTCAGGGCACCGCATGCATGAATATTGCTGTATAGACTGCGTGTGCTGAGCCCAGTTGTGAGCAGATACAAAGCTGTGCTCTGTGTCCCGGCTGTATTCCCACCCCATGACTGTCTTACTGTGCGGATTGAAGTGGTGCCGGGGCAGAGCGAGGCTTCATTGTGCTCGGGGCTGTACACTGGCATTGTGAGATGCAATCATCTTTCTAAAGAGCTTACAGAGTAAATAGGAGGATGGAGATGGAGGAATCGGCTGATGGAGGGAAGAGGCCGGAGCTGGCACCAGCGGCTGGAGAGCAGGCACAAGAGCAGGGCAATGGGCATCCTTCTCCCCTGCAGGCAGGTTTGATGCTGTTGCTGTCTGAAAGCAGCTCCTTGTGTAGCTGCTAAGAGCCATGTCTGGCATTGCAGGTGTAAATGGGGATGTCTCACCCTGGTGTGTTAGCTCCTCTGACCAGCCTCTCCCTGGGGCTCGCGTTGCTGGCACACAGCAGGTCCCTGGTGAGGATGAGGTGTCACTGAGAAATGGGCTTCTCACATGTGCAAGTGACTCAGGTTTGCACTGCAGAGAAGTCGGAGCCTTGGAAGCCCCAGAGGGGGAAGATCCCCCTTGGACTTGAAAGCAATCATTTGCCTCCGTGATGGAGCAAGGCTGGGTGTAGGGAATGGTGCCTCTTCCCACAGTGACAGCAGGACCATCCCTGTGGTGATGGTGCAGCAGGCGGTACTGGTGGGAGCTGGAGGTGATGGAAGCATCCTGGGGTAGACCTGGGTGCTTGGTGCTGCCCTTGGCATTCCACGGCAGCTCAGTTCCCCATTGGAAATAAGGGATGTGTGGGGGTCTGACCTGCAGGAGAGAGGGCACCATCCATGTGATGGATGTGAGACAGCAGCAGATCTGCAGGCGGGCCCTTCTGAGCAGCTTTTAACTGATAATAATGCTTATTTACTCCTCATCGCAGAGCAATCAGAATTAAAAGGTCACCCCATCCTCTGGCCCTCCCCACAGCAGGAGTGAGCCAGGTTTCAGGGATCAGCAGGAAGGACAATTAATCCTGCTGGCGGTAATGGTGTTTGCTTTTCCCATGTAGCATCCTCCCATCCCCAGACACTCTTTGTGCCCCAAACCTCCAGCTTCAGCTCTAGCATCCTGTGATAGGGAGCACAGGGGAGATGCTGTGGGTCCTGGCATGCAGGAGGGCCCCAGATCTGCTGTTTGCCCTTGGCTGTGTCTCCTTGCCTCTCACCTCTGTTGCCTGTATTGACTCAAAGCTCTTTGGAGCAAATCCTACCCCTTCCCCATGGTGCTGGCCGAGCAGAGCACAGCTGCTGTGCCAATACAAATAACACACAGGGTACACATGATAGTTGTGATATCAATATGAAGGGAGAGATGCCCTTGGTCCCAAACTGAAGGAGAAAGGGGAATAGGCCCCTTCTATGTGTACGATGTGCAGGAGCCAGCTCCTCCTGAAGTGCTCAGCAAAGAGGACCATGGTTTTGGGGGGTTGTCAATGCAGTGAATGCCTGTGCCAGCTGTGACTCACATCTAAGGCTGTTGGAGAGCCTGGAAGGGCTCCAGCCCTCCCAAGCTTCTCCCTTCTTGTCCTGCCACTGCTGGGCTCTGAGCCACGAGTCCTCCTGCCCCCCCCCTTCCCCTGCTCCATGCATGCCTCAGTTTCCCCATCTGTGAAATGAGGATAAAACCAACCTATGGGTCTTTGGTATGAGGGCTCTACAGCCCTTCCCAGCCAGGCCTGAGTGGGCTCGGGTGGTTGTAAGTCCATGAGAGATCCTTCAGGATGTCAGAATGAGCTGGATGGAGGCAGAAACACCGGGAATGGGGGATGGAGGAAAACAGGAGGAGTTTGCAAAGCCACAGTGCAAGTGTTCCCCTAAATGCATGTGCAGGTGGTTTTGGGGTGCTGCTGGAATTCGCTCTCAATTGCATCGCCCCAGTGTTTGGGTGCTGCTTGACCATCGGGGATCCTTGCAGGACAGGTCAGGGCCGTGCTGGGGTGTCACGGCCTTGGGTTGGGGAAAGCCTGAGTTATGGAGTACCTGTGACGAGGTCAGCATCTTCCTTGTGGGGAGAGGCAGGAAAACACCCACAGAATGCAGGCATAGCAATGGTCTTCGTTAGCTTGGGTGAACCAAGAGGAGCTGGCTTGTGCCTCCAAGTATCCCTCAGGTCATCACTGCCTGTTCATCACTCCTTCAGGGTGACTTCATCAACCCCTGCCCATGCCAGCCTGGAAATGGGCTCTGCTGTTACCCTGCATCCTCCCAGGGTTGCACCCAGAGCCAGGGCGGATGCGGGAGCACAGGAAGGGCTCCTTGAGCCGATAGCCCCATCACCAGCCCTTGCTTTGGCAGGGCAGGGAGGGGACAGTGGCAGCGCTGGTGGCTGAGCACCAGCTCCTGGCTCCCAGCCCATGTGATGTGTTTGAGGGGGCACGTTGACATTTCCAGCAGAAGAGAAGGGGAAAAAACACACCCGGAGACCTACAGGGAGCTCCGAGCCGCCTGAACCAGGAGAGCAGGAGACACAGGCATCGGAAGAGGAATCGAAGCGGGAAGGGAAGGGAGAAGTTGTTGGGATAGGGAAAGGATGTGAGGAAAAGTGCTGGCTGGCAGCCGGGAGGATGCAATGGCGGCTGGCAGAGGAGCTGTGGCACTGCCTGTGAGCCATGGAGACAGCCCTGCCGCGCACCCCTCGCTAGTTTGGGGGCAGCAGTGGGGACTGACGGGGGCCAGGACCCGGGTGGCAGCAGGGCACCAGCTCCGGAGCTCCTCCAGGCACCCAGCGCTGCTCCGGCTCCGCTTCCCGGTGCGGGGGATCCGGCTCTGGATGTGAGGGATCGGTGTCCACAGGGTTGAGCGCCGCCGGTCGCTGCGTGCAGCTTTCCTCCGGGTCAGCGCCGTGTGATAAGGTCGGTACCACCCCAGCTCGCTGCATCCGTGTTTAATAACGATCCGATCCCGTATTTCATTAACACAAGCATCTCAAGCGGCTCCATCCGTCTCCTTAGATTTAACTTGACGTGTCGCTTTAAATGCCAAGTGATCAGGAAAAGCATCTTTCCCTCGGTTTAAACATATGCGATGAGATGCGTGTGTTTGTCACACAGATTTCGGAGCCCTGCTCCGAGCCGTCTCCTGGTTCCTCTCGGCTGCCTGGGTACCACCATGCTTCCTCGCTGGGCAAAGCATCCCTTTGGAGCTTCCCCTAGAGCCGTGCCGAGGCTGCGGGAGCAGGAGAGACCCGCCGAGCCCGGGGACTACAGGCTCACTCCGTTGCTCGTGGGTATGGACCAGGGGGGGTGACGCGATGGGGATGCAGGCACCAGGTGATGCTGGTCCCTCGGGGATGGTCCCAGCACCATGAAGGTGGGCTCTGCCCCCCGGGAGGTGATAGTGTGGGGCTGGGTCGGATGCTTATTGGGGTGGGAGGAGGCAGCAGGGCTGCAGGCAGATGCTGCTGCCCTCCTTTTGCTTGACTAAACCTCGCTGCCTGGACAGCTTCTGACTGGTGCTGGTGGAAGGGCCGGAGCTCTCCTTGTGATGTGCCCTGGTGTGGGTTAAGAAGTGCAAGAGAGAGCAAGAGGGTTTGCTCTGTGCCAGCGGGAGGGATGGAATCTGCCTCTGGGGATGGTGCACCTCATCCTAGTGTCACCTACAGCATCCCACTCCGAGGTGGGATGTACTGGGGAATGTGGTGCCAGCCAGGCGCTGTAGGGACTGTGTGCTTCAGTGTCCTCATGCCCTGTGGAGAGGAGATGACGTGTCCCAGCAGCATCCCCATGCCATGTGCACGCAGGGTCTCTCATCAGGCTGTCGGTGAAGCATTGTCGCATCTCACGCCATGATTTTGGATTGGGAGAGGCTTTGGATGTGGGTCTGAGCAGGTTGTTTTCAGCATTCCTGATTTTTAAGTAGCTGTGACTAACCATGCTGGCACAGCGGGCTGTGGCCACCCGCCTACTTGCTACCTGGGCGCTTATAAATAGGGTCTGTTCTCCACACCCCATCAGGAGCCTTCCTGAGCCCCTCCATAACACCAAACCAGCTCCTTCCAGCCTCTCCCCCGCAGCCACCAGAGCTGGCATCACCCCATCTCCTGGCAGGAATCACTCCAAAAGGCAGCTCCCCCATAATTCCAGCCTGGAGGCTGCGGGAGCAGCACTCGGTGCTGTGGCTGGACCTGCTGAGCTCCGGGCTGTGCATCCAAGCACATCACGATGGCAGCAGGAGCCAAGTCTTTGGAAGAGTTGGGTCTTCCCGTGCCAAGGCAGAGATGGGCCAAGTGTTGTGCCGGGCTGAGCAGCCAGTGGTCCCCAATGTGCCAAGCTGGGTAAAATCCCCCTCCTGGGCGCTTTCTCATGGAGCTGAGCTCTGTGGTGACTCCAGGCTGCAGCACAAGGGCTGGAAAAGCCATGGGTTTGGCTTGGATTCTTCCCTTAGCGATGATGGGAGGGGGGGTGGTTCCCTCCCTCAGCCCTGCCGTGCTCTATCAGATGAATTAGCTCCTGATAGGGTGCAGCACGTTGAAGCTCCTGTCAGCAGCTCCCTCGGTCAGCATCGCTGCGCTGACGGCAGGAGATGAGAGGTGCTGCTGAGCTGGCTTAGAGAATGGCACCCAGTGCGTTTGGCACAAGGGGCCGGAGCATCACCCCTGCATCATTTCCGTGCACGGGAGGCGTCTCCCATCCTTTAACCTTCCTCTCCATCCACTTGTTGCATTTTGTCTCTGCCTTCGATCTCAGGCTTCTCCGAGGTGCAGCTTTGCCTGTGTTCCCGAGCTGGTGCATGCCTTGAGCAGCAAACAGCCTGGCTCTTGGCTATAAGCTCACAGTTGCCTATGGCCATGGGCCAGGCTGGAGGCTCCTGCTGCCTGACCACGCTTGCCCGTTCCCGTTTCTCCCATCATGGAAGCGGTTGTGGCAGCCTTGCTCTCTTTAGTGACTCTCCTCAGTGTCTCATTAGAGGGAACAATGGTCCTGTCAGGAACTCATTTCTGGTCGTGATGTGTGTTCCCTCCTCCTCTCTGCCAGCACCTCCTCACCCCCTGCAGGCTCCACAACCTCCCCGTGCCTCTGCACTCTTGCTCTGCTTGCAAAGAGATGAGAGGAAGAAATTAATCCAAAGCTCTGACTGGGAGCTCAGATGATGCCCTCCTTCCATCCTCCATCCCTCCATCCTCCCTCCCTCCATCCTCCCATCCCTTCATCCTCCACCCCTCTGTCCTTCCCTCTCTCTGCCCCTCCCTGGAGCTGCACCACATGCAGACATGCATCTCCCATGCTCTCTGCCACACCAAGAGCTGGCTTTGGAGCCATTTTCTTCCAACTGGACCCAACCCTCATCCCTTCCCCCTCTCCCACCTCCCTCCCTCTGCTCTGGGCTAAGAGGAGCCATCGATTTGGTGTCTTGAAGTGATGCCTGATAGATTGGAATTGATTTCCAGAGGCATTTGTCTGAGCAGCTCCAGGCAGGAGCGCCCAGGACCCGTGCTGTGACTTGGCTTTGCAGGAGCGTGATGGGTACGGCTGTGCCTCTGGGGCTATTCCTGAGCTGAGGCTCTGTGCCTCAGTTTCCCTCTCCTGTCTGGCTCCAAAGGGGATCCCCAGGCTCAGATCTGACTGCTTCCAACCCAGTTGCCAGGCTGCGCTGTCTCAAATCACTGCTGCCTGTATGGAGACCAGACCACAATGTGGCTTGTGTCTGTGCTGGGAAGAGCCTGGCCTCTTCCATCCTCTCCTTTGTGTCCTGCATCCCCGAGCTGTTGGCATGTCCCCAGCCATCCCCACCAAGGGTACATGGGCTCCTTTCTCCTCCCGTTCCCAGCAGGGATGCTCTCCATGCACAGAGGATGCTGCTGCCTTCAGCCTCCTGCCAACAGTCAGAGAGGAAGCTGATGGCAGGGCAAAAATCTGCCCTGGCTTTCCCATCCTCCCTGTGCCCTCTGCCCATCTTATTCGCCCTTGCCCAAGCATGGGAAGCTCCTTGGGGATCGATGCTTCCCATTGCTGGGGTCTCCAGGAGGGCAAGGACATGTGGGGAGAAACTTCCACTTGGATGCTGCTCTTACTGCATGGTGATGAGGGCATTTCTGCCCGTCGGTTGCCCTCAGAGCATCCCCTGATGCTGTGTACCAGGCCTATGATGCAGGTCAGGTCACATCTGTGCTTGGTGCTGTCCCTTCTGGTCACTGCAGCACTCGGGTGAGGGTAGGGATGGTTCCCAACTTGGACCTGGCAGGAGATTCCAGGGAGATGCTGAGTCAAGGAGACAGGGTGAGGAAAAGGAAGGACAGGGGTTGGTTGATGCTTTTCAGCTGCTGTAATGGGATGCTCGTTCTGTGTGCAGGCAGAGACAGGCAGGGTGGTGGCAGGGACACCACAACAGGAGCTGCAGGATGAAGCGGACCAGGCTGGAGGAGCTTCTTGGGTGCCAGGTCCCCCTTTTGCAGATGGCAGCATGGGGAGCAGCCTGGCTCATGTGCCTCATGTCAAAGGATGTGGGGATAGGGCTCTGATCCTGAGCACAAAGTGAGCAGTCGGGCGTGCTGGTCCTGCTCTTGGCACTGCTGTCCATGGGATCTAGGAAGTGAACTCCTCTCCCGTTTCCATGTGCATGTGTGGGTGTCATAACACCCGGCGAGGTGGGAAGTAGCTGCTGCTTTTCACAGGGCTGGCCAGATGGGATTTCTCCTTCGGTTTGGGGTTTGACAATGACATGGGAATTTATCCGGTCTTTTCTCTGCTTCCAAAGTTAAAGGAGCTGCTTGTCAGGGCAGTGCGGTGGAGAGCTGCCAGCTGGATCATCCCATGCTCCAACTGGGAAGCAACCAGGGGGCACCAACATTGCTTTGGACCGGCTCCTTGTCAGCAGCATCGGTAGGGCTGGCGCTGGTGGGGTGCAGGCAGCATCCAGGGCACGTAGAGGCTGGGGACAGGCAGGTCTGCAGGGTCGCATCCGGACTGGCACCGTGTCCTGGCTGCGGTGCCGGTGGGATCAGCACGGCCCCGGCTGGGAAGTTCCCAATGAAATGGTCAGCGGGTGGTGCTTTATTTTTCCTTGGTTCCACTCGAATTTGGGAGTGAAAAGCACTGCGGGGAGCTGCTGAGCCCGGGCTAAGCTGGGAGAGATCCTTTGGGATGGGGAGAGGAGATGGGAGAGCCACAGCCCCCACCTCCCAGAGCATGGGCATGGGGAGCTTTGTCCTGGGATGGATGTTAGCGGTCCCTCATGGGTGGCCTTGGCACTGCCTGGCTTTTCCCAGGCGGTTTGGTGCTGGCTCTCCATCATCCCAGGAGCAAGAGGAAGGCAGGGATGCTTCAGCTTTCACTCCTTGTATTGCTCACCCGGCGCTGAGTGAGGGATGAGGAAGAGTGTGCAGATGCCTTCACTTCAACACCCGTGTGCTGGGATGAGCCATGGGTCTGTCCCACACCTGCCATTCCCATGGGATAGGGGCATCCATAGCCCATAGGCTGAGCTCAAACCAGGGATGTGTTCCTCTGCAGGTTGATTTTAAAAAAGACCTGGCTCTGTAAAGCAGTGCTGATGGCTGGGTCCGTTTGGCTCTGGGTGGTGCTGTGGGGGGGGGAACACTCATGTCCCCCCTGGTGTGTCACTGCCTCATTGCTGCTCCTGGGCACAGCTTCCAAAGGAGAACACCAACACACGTGCAGCTGCAGTGGTTTTGGGCTGTGTTTGCTGGTCCCATTGTGGGGGTGAGATGGGAGCTACGGGCAGACCCCGCAGGGCACTTGGCCATCCCGAAATGAGCACAAACAGAGCATCCCTGTGCCAGCATCAGGGATGCCCTGGGCAGCAAATGACTCTGAAGGTCCCTTTACCCCACCAGGTCCTAGTTTGGGTAAAGGTGTTCATTTCCGGGGTGCCCACTGAGTTTGGCTGTGCGGCACAACAGGAGTTAAGTGTATCCAGAGCCATGGATGCACTTCCCAGTCGTGCCTCCGGTCCCCAGTGCCTGGCAGCAGCACGGCAGGGAAGGGGTTAGTGCTGAGCAGAGCTCTGGGTGCTGGGCAGCCTCCGTGGGTGCTGTGCAGGCAGTGGGCTGGCAGTGCAGCAGCCGCAGCCTCTGGGAGGAAGGCGAGCGCATCCCAGAGCATCGCAGGGCTCTTCCCCGCTGCCTTAATGGCCGGGTGCGGGGGAACCGCATCGCTCCGGGGGGCTTCTATTCTTTCACCTCCCTTTCTCTCGGAGCGGGCTCTCTCCTTCCCCTCGCCTCATCCCCTTCTGTACAATCGCTTTCTCGGGCTGCGTTTCATGCTCCGGTAACTGCCGCTGCTTTCCCGACCCGCCTGAGCTTCGCTGCCTCGTGAAGATTTATGCAACTGCAGTAATAAACTGTGTTTGAAAGATCCTCTTCTTGATAAAGCCCTGCCAAGCTGCTGCGGGGGGGGGGGGGGGGGGGGCGGAGGGGATCAGAGAGGACCGTACCGCCGACCCTGCCGTTGTTCTCGCTCCTGTGGGGCAGCACCCGCAGCACGGGGCAGGGCTTTAGGGATCTTTCCCATCCCCATCTCCCTTTGAAGGAGCAGGGCGCTGGTGGAGAGCCGCTACTTGAGCTGCAAGAGCATCACCCAAAGCACCTCCGGTGCTGCTGCTTTCCTGGGATGGAGGCGCTGGCCGCATCCTGCTAGGAGCCGGGGCTGTGGTCCCGGGCCGGGTGACCCCCTTTGCTGGCAGGTAAGGGAGATGGATGAATGAATCGGCAAAGGGAACCGCGCTCCCTCAACCTCCGCCTGCTCGGAGAGGGACTCGCCAGGATTTACCGTGGGATTTTGGTTGCGCTGGGAGCCCTGCGCCCGGCCAAGGAGTCTCCTCCAGCCCCTGGAGCCCCGGGGGCTGCCTCCGCCGGGCCACCGAAGCAGTTTTCCAGCCGCCATGGAAGCTGTCCTGCTCCCGCGGGTAAGCGATGGGGTGGTCCCTGCGCTTGGGGACACCCCGCTTGGATGGGCTGGGGCAGGGCTGAAGGGGGGACCCTGGGTGGGCTCCGGCCACCGGCTCTCCCGCTCCGTTGACCTACTTGGAAGCAGCCCCTGGAAGCACTTTGCAGGGATCTGCTGCTGCTGGCAGCGGGGCAGCCTGTGAGCGGGTACCACTGCTCCAGCATCCCTCCATGGGATCTGCGGAGGGGGAAGAGAGACAACTTGGTGGGAGGATTTGTCCCTGTCCCTGGCAGGGGGTTGGAACCGGATGATTTTTAAGGTCCTTTCCAACCCAAACCATTCTGTGATTCTATTCTATGCTTTTGGGTGGCAGGATGCAATCATCCCCTTGAGGTGAAGCCAGGAGGGATTAGGAGGGATGGAACCAGATGATCTTTAAGATCCCTTCCAACCCGAACCATTCTACACTCAGTGTCCTTTCCCCATGCACAGTGCCAGGGAAGCACGACCCCGTGAGGTTTAAGGTCCCTTTCCAAAGGAGCCCCCCTATCCCAGTTGTTGGCTGTTATCAAATTGCCTCCTCCCACTCCGGGCTGGGATACCTGAAAGGGGAAAAGGTGGCCAGCGTGGGGACAGGTACACGTGTGTCTGTGGTGGCTTTTCCTCTTCTCAGTTTAATGGGGTTTATGGACCATGGGCTGCCTGATGAGGGATGTGGGAGCGGATGCAGCACAGCCGGGAGGGGAAGAACCCCCAGTGGCTTCCAGCTTTGCTCTGACCCCGGTGCAGATTGTGCAGGGCTTTTCAAATCACCCTTTTTAGCAGTCGGCAGAGGCAGAGAGCTGGCGCGTTCCGCTCTTGGAGCATGTAATTAGGGAGCGGAGATCTGCATGCTGATGCATGGCTTGGCATCGGGAGCAGGAGGAGAAGGGTGGGAAGGAGCTGGGAATGTGGCCTCAGCCCAGGGATGCTACACTCAGGGCTGGTGGATGCGCTTGGGAGGTGGCTGCAGGGAACCAAGGCCAGGTTGGATGGGGCTTGGAGCAAGCTGCTCTAGTGGAAGGTGTCCCTGCCCGTGGCAGGGGTTGGAGCTGGAGGAGCTTTAAGGTCCCTTTAACCCAAACCAGTCTGGGATTCCATGATCTCGGGGTGTTTTGCACGGGGCAGATGTGCCACCACGATGTGGTGATGCAGGCACCTGAGCAAAGTGATGAGGGAACGGGAGCTTCAGCTCTCACTCAGATTCCACCTCCTGGGTAAGGGGGTGATGGTCCCCTGGCTGAGGTCCCATTTGGTGATGGAGCTGGACCGGTTGTGTTTTAGAGGAGGAAAGGGATGTCCTCAGGCATTGGGCAAGGGTAAGGATGTCCCCATGGCATTGCATTGCTGGGAGCGTGATGTCCCTGCCTGGCTTGTAGCAAACCCCATTGTATGACCTTGAGCAGAGGAGTTAGGTCTGTAACACATGCTAGAGTCCTGTCCTACATTAAAAACACAATCAGTTGATATAAAGCTAATACGTGGTGCTGATAAATAATTAAGGGAAAAGGAAAAACCTGCTTATGATTTGCTTAACAGGAACTTTGGAATGAAGGGGGGGGGGGGGGGTGTGAGTAGAAGGACAAGGAGAGAGATGAATAATGGATCAAGGTTAAATGGTGAGTGAAAAAGGAAAGCTGTAACGTGGTGAATCCCTGCAGTACGCTTGCTGCGGCTTGCCAAACTAGTTAGAAGTGCCAAAGGCAGCGTTGGGCACGGTGGCAGCGGCCAGGACCAGCCCAGGGCTGTGGGGCAAAAGGTTCCGATGCCATCAGACCCTCACAAGTGGCTTCTTGGTCTGGGCAAGGGGCTATGGGCTGTGGGGTGGCCCCATCCTGCAGCCAGGCAGGAGGTGCCAGGCGCTGGCAGCGTGCAGGGACTTCCAGGCATCCATCAGCGCTGGCGCTGGGCACAGCTTCCCAGGAACCCCACAACGTGCAGCTCATGGATTATTAGCAAAGGGGCGAGTCCCTTCCCCTGTGCTGCCTGCACCCTGCCTGCACTCGCTGCCTGCTCTGCTGCCCGGGATGGGGGGAGCTGTCTGAGCGGGATGGGATGGGATGGGATGGAGCAGAGGGTGCCGTGGTGCTGCTGAGTTCGGTGCCCATGGGTGCTGGGAGCAGTGGATGCAGGATGGGGTCTGATGGTATGGAGGGGGTCCAGCAGGACCTGGCAGGGAGGACATAGGGGTCCTGCATGCTCTCATGGGCATCAGCACAGTGCAGGATGGGCAGACACCAGCATCCCCTCACCATGGCCCCCCCTTTCATTTTCTTTTTGGTTTGTCCATGTGTCCATGTCCCCCCCCTCATCTGTCTGTGCTCTGGAGCGGTGCCTGGCTCCTGTGTCTTGTCTGTGCTGTTTCCATGACCCAGCACTGTTTTAGCCATGATTCGGTCTGAACATCGTGGTCTCGGTGGCATCCCAGCCCCTCCATCCCTCCTGCTCCCCCCCCTGCCCCATCCATCTCCTGCCACCACCAGCCCCATGCCCGCTGCCATCGCAGGGGCATAAACCCTGCACCCCCCAACCCATCCCACTGAGGGATGCTCCCGCTCCCATCCAGGCTCTGCTCACCTCTAGCTTAAAACCCCCTCCCCATCCCCAAATCTCAGCACCCCGCCTCTGCCCCATAGCAGTGGGGCTGCCCCAGGGCTGGTCCTGACCCTGTTCTGCTCTCCCCCCTCCCTGTGCAGATCCCGAGAGGACGAGCACCCACATGATCTCGGCCGATGATGCCGAGTACCCGCGGGAATACCGGACCCTGGGCAACGGCACCCGGCGCTTCTCCAATGTAGGGCTGGTGCACACCTCGGAGCGCCGGCACACCGTCATCGCTGCCCAGAGCCTGGAGGCCCTCACCGGCCTCCAGAAGTCGGAGATGGAGCGCAAGAGGGATGCATTCATGGACCACCTGAAGAACAAGTACCCACAGCATGCACTGGCGCTCCGGGGGCAGCAGGAACGTATGCGGGACCAGGTACGGGGCGTCTTCTTGGGGCTGGAGGGGATGGGGACCACATCTCACCCTTTGGGGCTGGCTGCGGGAGAAGAGGCTCAATGGGGGTTTGGATGGTGCATGAAATGGGTGGCTGCTTGCAGTAGCCTGAGGGGGAGCATCCCCCAGGTCTGAGGAAGAGCATCCTCTATCCTTGGGGAGAAGCATCCTCCAGCCCTTTTGGGGAGCATCCCTCAGCCCTACTGGGGAGCACCTCCATCCCTCCCCAGGGCTGGAGGGCTCCCAGGCAGATTCATCCAGCCATGCGAGTGGATTCAATCCCACTGGCTGGCAGCAATAATGGGGAGGAGAGGGGTGTTTCTCCATGCAGAGGGGTGGGGGTGATGGCTGCAGACCCCAAACTCACCCGGAAAGGGGCAGCTGGACCCATGGGCTGGTGTTTGCAAGTGCTGCTGCATGCCTGGCTCTCCTCTGTGCTATGAACCCCCCAAAACTGAAGATACTGGTGCAGCACCAGAGACAGGATGGATGCTTTCTGAGCTGGGGGGTCAGTGCAGCTCTTGGGGCAGATATCTCCCTCCTGACTGCCCCACAAGGTGCTGAGGGGCTGCTGAGCTCAGGAGGGGCTATGGGGCAGGATGAGGCAGTGAGGAGCTGTTGCTCTACCTCAGCATGTGCTGCTGTGCAGTGTGGGATGGGGATGGGTGACACGTGCCAGGATTTAGCATCCACATCCTTTGGTTACCAGGTCCCCATGGAGTCAATCCCACCCCAAGGACCTGCTGGTCTTTGGAGCAGGATGTGTCTGGGCACCCCTGCTGAAAGCAGCAGAGCCCAAGGGTTGAGTGGTCCCCATGGCTAGGGGTGCACCCCTGGGCTAGGCAGCATCCCAGGGTGCTGGGGAGCCCATCCTGGTCTGGGTACCAGTGATGCGGCAGCGATGCTGTTGGGGCAGTGATAAATCCCCACCTAAACTGGCACTTCCATGAGGAGGCACAGGAGAGGGTGAGCACAGAGCTGCTGGAGGAAGTGCCTGGAAAGAAAGATCTTATATCATCCCCAACTAGACACCTCCCGGTGGGATGCAGGCGCTGAATCCCACAAAGAAACCGGCTTTGTAAGGAAAACCCTGCATGCCGAGGCATCGGCATCGCTGTCTCCTCGGTGTTGGGGTGCACTGAGGGGGGTGTCCCCATTCTGCAGCCCCTCTCCTTGCTAAAAAGAGATCCTCAGCAGCGCAGCATCCCTGTTTTGGTGGCAGGCTGTTGGCTGGTGGTGACATTTCCAACCCGAGTGACATTTCTCAGTAAATAACCAGAAATCTTTCCCCTGTTATTGCAATGATTTCAAGACTGTTTTGGGTAGTTTTTAATATCAGCAGCTACAAGGAGAAAAACCCAGCTCCTGTTGACTCAGGGTCTGAGCTTTGGGGGAGTTTTAGCAGGTCAAAGGCAAATGGGTTGGATTCTGGAATGATCTTGTATCCCTGGAGCCCCTTGCTCAGGGCTGTGGGTCCAGGTTGGCTTCATCCCCCTGCCCTGGGCATGATGCTAAGGGCTCAACTCCATCCATCAGCCCAGCCACAAGCATCACTTCTTTGCAACCGGTGGGGAAAGAAAACACCCAAATCCCATTCTTCTTCTCTATTTTTTTTTTTGTTTCCTTTCCTTTTTCCTCTCATTTTCCCTGTGGGTGGTAAATAATAACAGGGAGAAAAATGCAACTAGAAAACACTGGAAACCCCAGGGGCCAACCTTTAAATGACATTGGGATGCAACACTCTGGGCCTTCCTATACCGTTTGAAGCTTGCTTTGCTCTTCTAGGGGAGCCTGGCAGGTATTTCCGAGCAGGCTTTGCTGTTTTGTTGGGGTTTTATGTGTAATTTCCAATGCGTTTGCCAAAATGAGAGGTGAAAAGAAGCGTTTCAGGAATGTCAACATCCCTTTCAGCGCAGCAAAGCCTGCAGCAAAACGCCAGCGTTCCCGTGCTGAGGCATTGGGAAGGGAAAGCAATATTAATTTTAATCGTATGTATATATAACAGAGCAGGGGGGGGGAAAGGAACACAGGGAAATCATTGTACCAACACCCAACAGACCGCTAGCAAAGCTGCGGAGAAGTCCAAGGAGGCAGCGAGCTTGCTTAAAACCCAGATGGGAGAAGGCGTTAAATGGGAACGTTAACAATAAAGAGGGGCATGGGAATTGGGATGAGGTGGCTGACGGAGCACGTTGGCTCCTGGGCTTTGAGGCTGCTTTGGAGGGGGGGAATCCTACCCTGGGAAGGGGAAATCTAGAAGGAGAGGGATGGCACGGCTGGGATTCTTATCAGTGTGCTCTGGGATGCACGGTTTGGATGGGGCCACCCTGTGGTACCCGATACTGAATGCACATATACCTATATATCTATATACCTATATACCCATATACCTATATATCTATATACCTATGTATCCCATATACCTATATCTCTATATGCCCATGTATCTATCCCATATACCTATATGTCTATATACCCATATGCCTATGTATCTATCCCATATACCTATATATCCATATACCTATATACTTATACACCTATGCATCTATATACCTGTATCTCTATCTCATTATGCTTATATATATATATAAAGTTAATAGCATCTAAAAAAAATAATTAGATGATGGTTCAAAGAGGTAACCCCATCACCCCTCCCTGCTTCCTACTAATGCCCACATTCCTATTGGATGTGCGTTTGGGATGGGGCTCAGAGGGTATGTACCACCCAGGACAACATGGTTTTAGTGCAGATAAGTGATAAATCCCAGAAAAGAAGGGATTACACCCCCTCCTTTCCCTGTAAGCAGGTAAAACATCATTCAGCCCTGTCTGCTCGGGTGCCCTGCAGCTCCTAAGCTGCAGTGTGGGTTTAAATACTGCAGCGGAGCTGGAGCAGAAACGTGCCTCATTCAGGGCTACAGGGAAGTACATAAAAGCTCAGATTTTAGCTTGTCCAGCTCTGCTGCGGGAACAAAATAATAGGGAAAGGCTGGAGCCGAGTGGGAACATGTTGGTGGCTGCCTGACAGCAGCAGATCTGCAGCTGCACAGAACAAATCTGACTTTGGAATCAATAAATACCAACCAGTGCAGATGGATGAGCCCACAGAGCCAGGCCCTTGCTCTGTCCTGCCTCACCAGCGCAGGCAGGGATGCAACAGGGGTGCAGGCAGGGATGCAATGGGGATGCAGGCAGGATGCAATGGGGATGCAGGCAGGGTGCAACAGGCTGGGGAGATGCTGCTTTGCTGCAGGTGGCTCCGTGCCTCAGTTTCCCTGAGGGAAGCGTGCGTCTTGGCTGCTTCCCCGCTTCATAGGAAGGGAGAACTCACGGAGAACTCAGGGTCCCAGGACCGTGGGGGATTGATGAGGCTGTGCCAGTGGCATTCGGGCACCCTGTGCTACAGCAGTGATTTATGGGGGGTGTGAATGGATGCATGCACCTCCAGCACCTACCCCTGCCCATTGTACCCCCAATTCCCCCCAGCACTTACCTTTGCCCATTTCACCCCCATTGCACTCCATTACACCCCAGCACCCACCCCATCCCATTGCACCCCATCGCACCACCCGCCCCATTGCACCCCCTGCACCCTAGCACCCACCCTTGCCCCATTGCACCCCATCACCCGCCCCTGCCCCAATGCATCCTTATTGTACCCCATTGCCCCCCCCATTGCACCCCATCACCCGCCCCTGCCCCAATGCATCCTTATTGTACCCCATCGTACCCCATTGCCCCCTGCCCCAATGCATCCTTATTGTACCCCATTGTACCCCATTGCCCCCCCATTGCACCCCATCACCCGCCCCTGCCCCAATGCATCCCTATTGTACCCCATCGCACCCCCTTGCCCCCGCATTGCACCCCATCACCCGCCCCTGCCCCAATGCATCCTTATTGTACCCCATTGTACCCCATTGCCCCCCCATTGCACCCCATCACCCACCCCTGCCCCAATGCATCCTTATTGTACCCCATTGTACCCCATTGCCCCCCCATTGCACCCCATCACCCACCCCTGCCCCAATGCATCCTTATTGTACCCCATTGCCCCCCCATTGCACCCCATCACCCGCCCCTGCCCCAATGCATCCCTATTGTACCCCATCGCACCCCCTTGCCCCCCATTGCACCCCATCACCCGCCCCTGCCCCAATGCATCCCTATTGTACCCCATTGCGCCCCATCGCGCCCCATTGCACCCCATCACCCGCCCCTGCCCCAATGCATCCCTATTGTACCCCATCGCGCCCCATCGCGCCCCATTGCCCCCCCCATTACCCCCCATCACCCTGCCCCGCCCCTTTGCCCCCCCTCCGGGAGCGCGCTCCCCCTCGCGGCGGCCCGGCGCTGCTGCAGGGGGCGGCAGGTGGAGTCGCGGTTGCCATGGTGACCGCGCCCCCCTATCAGGGCAGGCGCGCAGGGCCGACAGCGGCGGGAGGTGGCGACTCCGCTCGGCACCGCCCGCCCGCTCTTCACACACCCCCCCACCCCTCCCTCCGCGGCCCGCGTTGCCGATGTGATCCGAGCGGAGCCGATCAGAGCCGAGCGGAGCCGATCAGAGCCGAGCGGGGCCGAGCGCGCCCCGCCGGCGCTGCGGATCTCACCTGCCGCAGGTACCGGGGCCGGCGGGGCGGGCGCGGCGCATCCCTCCGGTGTCGCGGTCCCCTCCTGCATCCCGGGGCCCGCCTCCCCCCCGCCCTCCCCTTGCCCACGTACCCTGGGGTCGCTCCCACCCATCCCAGCACCCCCTTCCCAAACGTCCGCTTCCGTCTCCCCCGACATCCCGGTGTTCCCCTCTGCCATTCCCATCACCAGCCGGTGCTCCGGATCGTGCCCTTACCTTGGCCGCGGCGCTCAGTCCCCCCTGTTTTTCCAGCCCCCCCATACCCCCAGTTCACCCCATTTCCCCTTCGCGGGGTTCCCCCCACGTCCAAGTCCGCAGCATGGAGCTGGTGGCAGTCTGTGGGTTCCATCGT